CTACTGGAGATTGACCATTTCTTCCATTTATCAGCGTGATTTGTGCTTTAATTCTGTACTTTGATTCCTTCACCCACTCTTTCATCTGGGCTATATCAGCACCTACTCCAGTGCTCCCAGACACTGCAATGCTGAACTAGAGGAACCAGACAAAAGGTTCAGCCAAGTTCCCAAGAGTAAGCTCTTGTTTTGTATTAGCAATGTTTTCTCTTCATAAAAATGAAGTGTTTGCAAATAAATCTCTATTGGCCACTGGCTTAGAGAAATGTTTGTTGATCCTGTACTTCAGAGATGCTGCTGAAAACCTCCTTCATGTTCCCAGCTAATTTAATACTACTATTTACTATAATGTACTGCTTGTATTGCAGTAGCACTTAGGATTCCTAGTCACAGACTAGGGCGCCGTTGTGCTAGACACCAGGCAGGCATGGAACAAAAAAGAAAGTCTCTTCCCTAAAGAATTTGCAGTCTTTGGCATGAGTATGGTCATTATAAAGATAACAATCTTTTTTTCCAAGAAACGCCTCATCTTGTTCATTATCCTTTACAATTAGTCTCATGGGGCCCCACTTCCAGCAACATGCACCTGTTGATAAATGCAGCCTAGTCAGAGCTAAGAGAGACTTTGATTCTCCCATTTTTTAATGAACAACAAATGGTACATTAGAGATGTTTGCTCCTTCAAATATGCAGACATCTGAATTTCTAATTGTTTAGCATTAGTCATAACTTAAGTAGGACAGAGGAGATTCTATATATAGTCCGTTGCCCAGCCATTCAAGGCAGATAGTGTGTTTGTATTTCCTCCCATATTTCCTCACTTGAAAGAAGTGAGAAGGCAGTTGCACCATCTCCCGCCTCAAGTGTTCCAAAATTGCGCTGCCCCTACCTATTCCTCCCCCAAATAATGACATTGCATTTAGAATCATGAGGGTTTTTAAAAAATATGACATTCTGAGCTCTTCACTGTTTGTCTGGGGATTGTAAGCCTTGATGGTATAGCTGGCTCATATTTTTAAGTTTGAAGGCTAAAACATTTCTTTTTTAAATTGTGAATAGAAGGGGAAGAAAACGTACAAGGCTATCTCCTTGTGCTGCCTCTGTACAGCGCATTCCCCTAGGCAATGAGAGCATGTCCCTGAGCATGTCGCTAAGCACATTGTTGAGTTGAGGTTGTAACAGGATTCCAGGAGCAGGAGCTGTTCTAAACGTCACAAATCTCCCTTTTAAGGGTAGTGATTACCCACGAGCAGGCACTTGCCATACGGGCTGCGCTCTGCTCTGCACCCCTCTCCCAGAGCCCAGGAAAGGGACAGCGGTGGGCTCCAGCTGCCCTGCCCCACAGATGTAGGGTTGTGTCTGAGGAGAGGCAATACCGGCATTCCCACCTGCCTCTTCCTTCCAGGCCCACGATAGCCTCCCTAAACACCTCAGCTCTTGCTGCTTGGCCAGCATGCCCAGTGCTGTCTGCAGCGCGTCTGTCCAGCGTTTCCCCCTCCCGCTCCCGCGAGGCCATGCCCTGCTGCCTGTATAGCCGTGTGCCCTCCTCTGAACCACGCTGAATCCATGGGTTTCGATGGGTTGTTCCAGATGCACGTGAGATTGAATCCAATCTCTTGTCCTTGCCCTGGTACCAGGGGCAGTATTGGCCACATACAGACAGACCGGACTCTTAGCTAACATACACCCAGCAAAATTTCTCTTATGGCAAAATATACCCAGGCACCAAGACAGTCAGGAAAACAAATTACTCAGTGCTTTCACATAGTGCTGATTTGATGGATTTCCTCACTGTTACCTATAATTGTGAGATTAATTCCTGCAGAATTATCATTAACTGTGGTGAGAGCTCACATACATACCCGCGCAGCCTTCTCCATCCGTTATTCGAGTGCAAGAATAGCAACTGACAAGTCTTGTGAGGTAAATATAAAGGTCAGCTGTTGCCTCCCTAGATGAGGGCTGTCAAAAAGAGAAAGGCACAGCCCTTCCAGCATGCAGACTTTTCCCAGCCTAATTTTACAACTTCCTTTTGCTGATTAGAATTAGAGAGCAAGGCTGTGAGGCCCGAGTGCTTTTTTGGTGATGTCCAGGAGGGTACATGCCCAGCTTCCCTTTGCATTGCAAGCATTTGGGTGAACAAATCCCCCTGGGTCCACAAGGCCTTAAACAGAGGGCATGTTCTTGCTCGGATAAGGTATGTGCTTGAAATTCCTGAGCAGTTTTTACTGGCCTCTGTTCATCAGGAGGTCAGACTTCAGGAGCAAAATGATCCCTGCAAATCTGTGAGTGTGTGAACTGCAGCAGGGCTGTGTCCTGCTCAGACACTGTGGAACCGAGGGGATAATTCTGGAGGAATTTTTCCTTCTGTCGAGACCTTGAGCCTGTAAAACTGTGTCTTGTGGGCAATACGCTGGGAGGAAAAATATGAATATTATCCCATGAATGAAAACAGTCTTTTGGTTGAGATTATGAACTTGGGCTCAGAAAATACAAGGGTCCTTCCTGCCTGATACACAGTTCCTTGAGGGATATGGGGTAAATCACTTTGTCCTCTCATGTTTTTGTTCCCCATTGGAATGTTTGGAGAATTAAGCAGCTTTCTCTCTATCTCACAGGACTATATGAAAGATATCTTAGTTAAGGTATAAGTGGAGCTCTGATACAATGACGAGACATGCAGAAAAACTCTGTGACATGAGCAAAATATATCCTTTCTGGATTGAAATTGTCTACAGTTTATTTGAAAGAGAAATTAGAAATTAAAACTCAGTGAGAGAGAGGAGAATTTTGAAGACATATGGGTTCAGAAGAAATAAGATAAAACTGAGGTCCTTATCGTCAGTTTTATTCTCCATTCTCATCTCGAACTGTATTTATCTGACCTATTTTTATTGGTTTTTTTTAACTTACTTTAATTGAGGTTCTCTATGATCAGTCTAGCAAATTCATTCTGCTGAGGAAGAATAGGCAAATGTATTTTATTCTTAAAATGACATCACCTTCAGGCATAAAAAGATATCTTGAATTTTTCTTCTTTTTTCTCTAGGTTGCCACAGAATGCATAACATCTGTGACCATTAGATTTAGGTTTCTTGGTACCAGGAGAATCAAATAGTTGAATGAAAAAGTAATATATACACATGCTACTGTATGAATGCAGGCACTTCAGAGGTGGCAAGATGTACAGAGTTCCCCTGAAATAGTCGCAGAATGTAAAACCTTATGTCTGAGAGCTGATCACATGGACTGAGTAATGAGGGTGATCACAAGAAATGATCACGTGAGATGACATAGAAAAGTTTGCTGAACACAACAATACCAGAAAGCCTTTCTGCCTTCTGACAAAAGCTGGAATTGTAATGAAACACTACACCGTGGTGGGAAGCTGATCTACCTCTAGTGTGAGCTCTTCCATGTTTGAAATTGGACATCTTCAAAAATACCTGGCGTAAGAGCCATACCCCCAGTTTAACATCATCACTTCTATATAGTTATTTTTAGAATTGTGTGGTCTCTCTGCTATGGTCAATCAATGAGAAGGGCATTCTTTTTATCTAACATTAGCCCCTTAAAAATTTGGTGACTAGGCTAAGGTAGCTGTCTGCACTCCCTTTATAGACAAGGGAATGAGGTGAGCTTCTCCAGAAGCCTTAAGATATTAGTTTGCTTTGGGATGCATCATACTCTGGGCATGCTTTTGCTCTCCATGACCTCCAACAGAATGGCTATAATTGCCTTTCAGTAGGTGCCTAAGTTTGAGATCACTAAAGCTAGAGATCAGCTGCCACCCGACCCAAGTCAGCATGGAGAAGGTGGATAGATGGAATGCTTTTTAATCCTATACAATGCTATTTTGTGATTCACTGCAAAAATTACGCTTGCCCCTGATGTTTGCCAAATGAGCCAAATATGAATACTCTTCTGCTAATCTCAAACTGTACCACTAGCCCTGAAACTTAATTCCAGATTTACCTATTATCTGCTTTGTTTCTCCTTTTCTCCCCTCCAGTGAGAATCCAGGCTTTCCTCTGGTGTAATCTTCTTCGGGAGTAACTGCTGAGATTTCACCTAGAAACTGGTTACTCTTTGGAGAAAAGATCTATGTTCTTAGGAAGTCAGTCCTACATTTGAAGTATTGAGTATGAGTACTTCGTAGTTCAGGTCTCTGTGACATTTTATATTCCTCATTATCAAAGCATCCAAATGTCTCTCTGTCTTCCTCACATTTAAATTGTTGCAAACCCTCTAACACGTTGTTAAGGATCTATGGGGAAAACATGGACTAACATGGCTGTGTTGGATTAAAAACAAGTGTATGTGAGAAAACATGGACTCTACCTCAGAGTCAAGGGTCGTGAAAAAGGAAGGAAGAATTTGGCAGGTTACGGAGCTCTGTGAAAATCACAGGAGCTGCTATCACTGTAATTCTTCAAGGGATGAAACTGTCTGCCTAAAGGGACCTAAATAATATTTTAAATAATGACAAACATAAAATAATCTGAGCCAAATTCTCACTGGCATCAATCTTTTGGAGAGATGCAGCTTTTTATCTTATTCATCTCACCCACGATACTAAAAAAGCATATTTGGATCAGAATGTTTCCTTCTTTATGTTTGTGATCACAGTATTTTAAGAAGTTTCATGGTCTCTAAAAAGGGTATTGCACCTAAAAATGGAGATAATGTGATAAAAACCACCCCACAGCACATCTGGAGAATCTGAGTTTAATGTGCCTCTTACATTTTCTACCAATTCTTTGAACCTAGCTCCTGCTTCTTTGAACCTCTTGTTCTGGGTGAAAACTATGCTGGCACGCTTTTAAAGCATACAGATAGCTGTGACTATCTACACAACATATTCAGTTCTGTTTTTGTTGTAATGTGCATTTCACTTCATGAGTGCTGGAGTTAACACAGTTAATGCAGAAACAAAGCTCTGTTATTACAGCTTGTTTTTCCATTTGTTTATGATGTGATTCTAAGGCACCTTACCCAGAATGTCAAAGATTGTGGGTAGGTAGACCAAAAGTTACAGTGTAGAGCACCTCTCAGGAAATGCTCAGAAGTGGGCTGTGGCCAACCTCATACACTAATTTGTCTGAACCTCATTATTTTATCAAGGAAGTAGATTTCAGATTCGTTGCTGATTTAGCACTGCTAGCATGCTACCACCTTACATGGTCTCTTCCTACTGCTCACTGTGATCAGGCACATCCAACTGCATGACCCCCAAGCATTTACAGTCTAGGCAGGATACAATTAGTAGGTTTTCAGTGCAGTTTTCCAATTTAAAGGGAAGGATATGATGAAAGTGGCAACTGAGGCAGTGGAGAAGCAGGACAGATGCAGTGACAAAGATGATGGGATACAAAACCAGAAAAATGTGTATTATGCATGGAGTGGGCATTGGATGGAAGTTATTTCTATAAGCAGTTACCTCCTGGAAGAGAAGATCTGAGGGTAAGCAACACAGCTGGAGATATTGGTGGAATATGGTCCAGAGCCTGCTGACATAAGGGAGAAGGGAGAGCACTTCAAAGAGAATTCAACATTTTGCAGTCACCTGCTGATTAAGAGACCCTAGAGGGCAGGCGGAGGGGGGGCAAAGAGGGAAACACATGACCATGAGGGCAAAGAGCTGGGGAAGATGAGCTGGTGGGAGTCAAAGAGAGGGGGAAGAGTAGAGGCAGGGGATACTTCCAGGGAAGGAGCGGAGAAGGCAATGGAGAGGAGCGCTGGCCAGAGGTGCCACAGTCGGGGACCGCAGGGAGGGAGCAGGGCCAGGGGCGAGCGAGCGGAGGTCCCGGCGGCGGGAGGAGGGCAGTGGGCAGGGGGAGGCGGAGCGGGCATGGCGCGGAGCGGCCG